TATTTGAAAACTTGAGCAACAGTTGCTCAAATTTAATTCAAAATTAAACTGCTAATCTAGTTTGCTTGGCCTAATCAATATTTATGCATCTGCACGTCCTTTCACCTTATAGTTTTGCTGCTCTAAATCAGCCGTCTTTAATCCGAATGACAAAAAACACTCCACTTTTACTCTTAGGTGAAGCTGTAGTAAAAATGTAAGACTGATAACTCATGTAACTTTTTGCACAGGCACACGCAAAATTTTTTGTCAAATTTAAGCAGTTTAAGTTGAATAACTTTCCACGTGTAGCTTATATTTACACCAAGTGAGACTCTTAACTGTAGATTGTAAAGATCTATTAGTGTACCAAATTGGAAAAGAATCCATAAAAGTTAAATATTATTTTTTATCAAATAAAGTTTTCATACTTTTGGTGCAAATAAAAAAAAAGGGGGAGGGGGAGAAACTGAATCAAAATTGGTGATGTTATATCTCAGATATTTCTTAATAGATTGCCTTGAAATTTGATACGTAAAGTGAGAGTCCAGTAGAGCACATCCACTGAAAATATGTGATAGTTCAGATTACCACAGTCCGAGATACAGAATGTGGAAAATTGCTAAACTATCACTCCTGTTAATAACACACAATGTGTCCTACAGCAGGTTGTTTTGTCCACACAACACACTATCTTGTGTCTTGATTACCACTTGTGTTATTAAATAAAGTTTCTTAAAAAGTGGCCAGAAAAATCCATTCTGTGCCTTTTTGGTGTAGCTCAAAAAGATTGCCAAAAGAATGAACAAAGGAACTTCAAAGAATGCTAGTTTAATAAAATAATTACAATTTTAAAATATGTTTTTTGTAATTCAAATAAAACATTTATATAAGAACTATTTGTATCTAACTTACCTCCAAAATTAATGTTGGGTTTTGCAGAAAAGTTAAAATTCGCTCCTTGTGATGCAGAAGAAAAGTTAAATCCGCCTGGTGATTGGAAAGCGTTCCCACTTCCAGTTCCAAATTGGAAAGAACCAGGTGTTGACTGCTGAAGATTTGAGTGTCCAAAGGAAAGTGACTGATTAGGACTTGGAGCAAAGTCAAAATTAGCATGGAGCTTGTTATTACTTGATCCAAAAGAGTTCTGATTCTGATCAGCTCCACCAAAAGCTGTATTCTGTCCAGATGAGCCAGATCCAAATACTCCACTGGAGTTCTGAAACAAAGTACTCTGCCCAGCACTGAATCCTCCTCCTGTTGATAGATTGCTAAAAATACCTTGAACTGGGGGTTGGTTGTTCTGACCAAACTTAACCTGTTGTGTAGAACTGTGAGGTGTACCTGCAGATTCTTTAAATATCTGTGGGCTGGAAAAAAGACTAGGTTTTTGATTTTCAATGGAATTGGTGATGAGGGGACTAAATACAGATGGAGGATTATTAAGACCTGTTGCAACATGCTGTGATGTTGTAGTATCTGGTTTTCCACTTTCACTAGACCCAATACCAGATGCTGAGCTGGACCCAAATGTAAAGGAAAATCCTTTTTCCTTATTAGATGAACTGGCTGCTGATGAACCTAAAGAAAATTTAAACCCTCCTGGTGGATTCTTTTCCAAGGATGACTGCATAGAAGGGGCTGTTGAGCAACTTCCGAAATTAAATTGAAACCCTCCAACAGAACCAGTAGTTGCTGGGGTAAAACTAGGTGGTGCAGAAGAGCCAAACTGAAACCCTCCAACAGAACTCACAGTTGCTGGTGTAAAACTGGATGGTACAGATGAACCAAATTGAAATCCTCCAACAGAGCTTGTAGGTACTGGGGTAAAACTAGATGGTACAGAAGAACCAAACTGAAACCCTCCAACAGAACTCATAGTTACTGGTGTAAAACTGGATGGTACAGAAGAACCAAACTGAAATCCTCCAACAGAGCTTGTAGTTACTGGAGTAACACTAGATGGTACAGCAGAACCAAACTGAAACCCTCCAACAGAGCTTGTAGTTGCTGGGGTAAAACTAGATGGTACAGAGAACCAAACTGAAACCCTCCAACAGAGCTTGTAGTCACTAGGGTAGTACTAGATGGCACAGCAGAACCAAACTGAAACCCTCCAACAGTGCTTGTAATTGCTGGGGTAGTAGTAGATTGTAAAGGAGAACCAAACTGAAACCCTCCACCAGAGCTTGTAGTCACTGGGGTGAAACTAGATGGTAAAGAACCAAACTGAAACCCTCCAGTAGAGCTTGTAGTCACTGGGGTAACACTAGATGGTACAGTAGATCCAAATTTAAACCCTTGAACAGAGCTTGTAGTTGCTGGGGTAAAACTAGATGGTATAGTAGAACCAAACTGAAACCCTCCAACAGAAGTTTTAGTCACTAGGGTAGTACTGGATGGCACAGCAGAACCAAACTGAAACCCTCCAGCAGAGCTTGTAGTTATTGAGGCAGTACTAGATGGTACAGAAGAATCAAAATTTAAACCTCCAACAGTAATAACTGGGGTTCTATTAGAAGGCAAGACAGAACCAAACTGTAACTCTCCAACAGTGCTTGTGACTGTTTCTTTAGTGCTTATAGCAGTACTTGAAGGGCAAAACTGACTTCCACCAGAGGTTGTTACTTTTCCTGGAATAACATTATAAAGTTCAGAAGAACCAAACTGCAATTCTTTAGCAAGGCTTGTTTTTACTGGAATTACTGCAGATGGTCGAGATGAAGCCAACTGGAATTCTGCAACAGAATTTGTAGTTGTTGCTGAAGTAACACCAGAACTGAACTGCGGTCCTCCACTAAAGCTTGAACTAACACTAGTCAGTGTAGAAGGTGGCTGGTCCATGCATACAACACTTGGAGAGGAAGCATTAGATGTGTTCACTGTAAATGCTGAGCTTGAGGTTACAACTGAGGGAGAAACAGAAGTTGGAGAGTTAGACTTGGTAGCAGATGGAAGAGGCAGTGTCCTCGTATTAGTGTCTCCTTCCAACTTTGACATATCCACAGCAGCTGTGCTACCATTCTTGAATGTTGTAAAAGAGGATTGAGTAGATGTCTGTAAAGAGAGGCTCGAAGGAGTAGTTGAAACTAGGGCTAATGGTGATGTGTGCTCTGTTGAATGTTCCACTGAACTGTCTAAAGTCTTCATTTTAGGTTGTTGTCCAGCTGTAATTAGAAGATTTTTAATTAAAAACTTCTAGTTATTAGTTAGGTAACAATAATTTCTTTTAGTAATTTATGTTCACAGACTTATACTCAATGTTAATCTCTCTCGTTACAACTGTCATGATACAAAATGAGGAATCAACTTTCATTTCTTTATTGTTCAGTTCATATTTCAGTCTCTTTGGAGTTCAAAACTTGTTCTTAAGCTAGTGTGTGTGCTGACAAACATTCATCACTTAATAGGGTGGATATTGAAAACAAGAGGAGAAGTAAGTTCAGTCCAAGAAAGAAATGTTCAATCAGAATGAATATAAAATCACGTTAAGCAGAGATACTATCAAGTTGACGTAGTTAGAACTCACTACATATAATAAAAAAAACTCACAGCTGGTTGCTTTGAAGGTGTTCTGAATACCACTTAGAAGCTTCTTCAATCTCTTTTCCCCAATTTTTGAATCTCTTTCAAATTCTTCCAATGTGTGTAGATGTTCTGGCATTGGAGCAACCTGCAAATGAAATACCAGAACATTGCTGAAAGGTGAAATTATGATTCAATATATAGAGTACTAAGTAGAAGAAATACGGTAAAAGATGGTTCTAGAGCATAGATTACATAAACTAAAAATTCCGGAATGTTAAAAGTGAACAATAATTTATTAAAATAGCATCAGATTCATTGGACAATTCTACATATTTTTGACATTATTCTACCAGCAGTCCTGATGATGGCAGTGTTTTGGCAGTATTCTACCAGAAGTCCTGATAGCAGTTTTTTGACAGTATTCTACCAGAAGTCCTGATGATAGTGGTGTTTTGGCAGTATTCTACCAAAAGTCCTGATGATAGCCGTGTTTTGACAGTATTCTACCACAAGTCCTGATGATAGCAGTGTTTTGGCAGTATTCTATCAAAAGTCCTGATGATGGTAGGTTTTGGCAGTATTCTACCAGAAGTCCTGATGATGGTAGGTTTTGGCAGTATTCTACCAAAAGTCCTGATGATGGTAGGTTTTGGCAGTATTCTACCAAAAGTCCTGATGGTAGCAGTGTTTTGGCAGTATTCTACCAAAAGTCCTGATAATGCCAGAGTAGTATTGATTACAAAAACATGTAGAATTATCCAAAGAGCCTTGCATGATTCTAATAAATTATTGCATACTTTTAAATGCATTATAATGTTGTTATTTATTAATTACACCATTTTTCGGATTAAAAGCAAAGTTTTTAATACCAAAAATGGAATAAAATGCCGGAATTTACAAGAAATGCAATTTTTTACAAATTAGATCTATTTGTGTCAGTTTGTATCTACAACATTATATATATATATTTCTGAATAAAATCTTTCTGAGCACACGAATACCTTAGTAGACGATGGAGATACGTTCACATAGACTGCTGGCTGACGTCTTAACGAATGTTCTTCTTTGCTGCTGCTATGGAGAGGCACACATATTCCCAGTTCTTCACTCTTCACAAAAATAGATTATAACCAATATATTAAAGTTAGTGTTTCAGAAAAACAGCAGATGATAATATACATATTAGATAGTCCTAACTTCTATAAACCTTACGGAAGACATGCATTTTCTATAATTTATTTTATTGTAAAGCAAATATCTAATTACATGCTAGGCTTATTTTATTATAAAATCTGTGTTTGTCCCACTCTTTTACAGTTAAAGTTTTCCTTATCTGAAAATGTATCTCAAATAGTTACCTCTAAGCTCAACAAAGAGCTATTAACTGTTTTAGGCCTGGTCCCTGGGACTGACCTCGTAACTATTTTGTGCTTGTTATGGTTTTCGTGCTATAACTTTTAAATTAGTAAGCACATGTTCACGAAATTTGGCAGATTATCAGTAAACATTACAATGCTTTCATACTCAAAATATCAGATTTTTTTTTTTATTAAGTCTTAAGGTTTGTTCAGCAATGTTTTTCTCATGCCTTTTTTCTTTTTGTATGTTGCCTATCCAACATGTAAAGTAATTTTAATTTTAAGATTAAAATACTTTTATGCATCAGAAACTTTTCAAATGTCCAGATAGTTATCAAATGTTTCTTAAAAAAAACTTTATATTTTATCTGTTATTTTCACTAATGAATCTCTGTATGTGTTTGGTTGATTTGACCGATCTCGTAACCACCATAAAAAAATTAGGAAATAAACATAAATTATGCCTCTTTCATTCTAGAAAGAACACAAAAACACAAATGTTTAGATTAAATAACTTAAATCTCATAACATTATACATTTATAGATATATATTTATTATTTTTACTACATTGACCTTCAGCTATAGCTGGTTAACAATACAGAAGTTAACATATCCAATAATATAAAACTGATCTTTGGTCTGTACAAAGCAACCTGTCTTGGCTGTGTTTTAGTGGACTAGTATTTTGTAAAATACAGTCACATTTCAATTATTATACATTATATATGTATACAGATTACTGCTATTTTGAAATAAGTTTTAAAGTTATTTTGCCTAAAACATAGAACAGTAAATAAAGAAGTAAAGCAAACAATTATCTCTTCAAGTTACGACCTTTGTACTCTGTTGCTACTTGCCATAAGTTTAACTAAACCAAACACACGAGTTAACACTATTACAGTAATATAATAACATTTAACCAAACTAAACACATCAGTTAACACTATTACATTAGTACAATAATATTTAACCAAACTAAACACATCAGTTAACACTATTACAGTAGTACAATAACATTTAACCAAACTAAACACATCAGTTAACACTATTACAGTAATTTAATAACATTTAACCAAACTAAACACATCAGTTAACACTATAACAGTAATATAACATTTAACCAAACTAAACACATCAGTTAACACTATTACAGTAATATAATAACATTTAACCAAACTAAACACATCAGTTAACACTATAACAGTAATATAACATTTAACCAAACTAAACACATCAGTTAACACTATTACAGTAATATAATAACATTTAACCAAACTAAACACATCAGTTAATACTATTACAGTAATATAATAACATTTAACCAAACTAAACACATCAGTTACTACTATTACAGTAACACTGTGAATTTAAAAACCTGCAAATAGGGACCATAAAAAAAGTAAGGAAACAAGACTAGAGATACTGTAGACATTATTTACTCAACCTACAAACACCTATAAAAAACATGTATCATGAAGTTACCTACCTTTTCTACGTCATCCTTAGTAACATCTGTTGAGAAGAGAGGTACCGTTTCTTTTCCAGTCACATCACTAGAAAACAATGTGTATTTACACATTACTGGTTAATCCAGTGAAGATGTGCGTTTTATAAAAATTCAATTTAAAGACAAAGTACTCAAAGTTACACGTTGCCATAAAATTATAATAATTAAATTACCGTATGTACTAAAAGTAACCTAGTTTCTTTTTCTGTTACATTAGTTTTCTAAAACCAGTTAGAAATCTGGTTTAATATTATGGCAATCTTTCACCTTCTTTTCTTTAACAGCGGTCATGGCAATTACCCCATTGACTGTGGCTGCTCTAAACGTGTGCAGATTTTTTGCAAGCCGTAAACCATACACGGTACACTCGCATTCAACTGCTGGAGGCAGACTGTACCTTATATAGAGAATCAACGGTCGATGGGTTAACGGTCTATATCAGTGTGCGGCATGGGAAATAGTGATTTTTTTTATCAGTGTGTCACATTTTGTCTTTTCTTTTGAAAGACAGAAGCCAATGTACATAGTATATGTATGATCTAATCAAAAATAACTGTGAAAAAAAGGATCCAGTGTGCAACTTAAAGGAATGAAATCAAAATTGGTGGCCAAACTGATAGCTGCACTTATAGCATTGATAAGAATTTCACAGCAAATAATCATTCATTAGTTAGCCAGGCCATAATTTTTGCTCAACTTGGGGCACGATAGTGGGTAAAACAAAATATGTGGTCTAATTAACTAATGAATGAATATTTGCTGTAAAATTCTTATCAATGCTATAAGTGGAGCTATCAGTTTGGCTGCCAACTTTGATTCTGTTCTTTCAAGTTGCACGCTCGGTACTTTTTTTGGCCACAACTTGTTTTTTCACACCTAAGGTGTTTTTGATTAGATATCATGACTTTTTTGTCAATATACACCAACAAATCACAGCAAGTACGAAAGTGACACTCTATAGTAACCCACAATAGCTTTTGGAACACAACCCTCAGTTATTCGGAACAGACCTTTACTTTACAGAACCAACCAGATTCATTAAAATATATGGTGGAAGTTTTTCCTCTCTAAAACAGTGTTAACAGTATCCTTTATAGTAATGCCATGGAATTTAGATTAACAGTTTCTTGTCATCAACCACATGCAATCGGTACAGCTGTATCAAGCATTATTATTTATGCTAATTGCTTAATATAATATCAGGTGATGTTAAACACTCTTTAAGTAGGATAATTTCATAAAATTTAGCAAACTTGTGCTTACAATTGGCAATGAATAATAACCATCCACCCGTATGATTATTTGAAAACTTGAGCTAGAAACTGCTAATCTAGTTTGCTTGGCCTAACCAATATTTATGCATCTGCACGCGCTTTCACCTTATAGTTTTGCTGCTCTAAATCAGCCGTCTTTAATCCGAATGACAAAAAAACACTCCACTTTTACTCTTAGGTGAAGCTGTAGTAAAAATGTAAGACTGATAACTCATGTGACTTTTTGCATAGGCATGTGCAAAAATTTTGGTCAGAATTGAGCACTTTTGTTGAATAACTTTGCACGTGTGGCTTATATTTACACCAGAATTGACACCTAATTGTAGGATATAAAAATCTATCACTGTACCAAATCTATCAAATAAATTTTCCATACATTCGGTGCAAAGAAAACAAAACAAGAAGAGCTTCAGTGAAAGGTTGGATATTTTATATCTTGCGTATTTCTTAATGGATTGCCTTGAAAGTTGGCACGTGAAGTAAAGGTGCAGTAGAGCATAACCACTGAAAGTACGTGATAGCTTGGATTACCACAGTCAGAGCTACAGAAAGTGGAAAACCAATAACTATCACTCCTATTAATAACACAGTGTCCTACAGATTTTTTCAGCCACCCGATGTGTGTCTCGATTATGTGGAACTATTCAGAAAGATGGAATATGTAGTGAAGAACACTGAGACCATACCAGTTAGATGGAGCACATTTCACTCGTATGTACAGTACACAGACTATCAGGATGGTACCAGATAGATGGAGCACATTTCACTCGTATGTACAGTACACAGACTATCAGAATGGTACCAGATAGATGGAGCACATTTCACTCGTACATACAGTACACAGACTATCAGAATGGTACCAGATAGATGGAGCACATTTCACTCGTATGTACAGTAACAGACTATCAGAATGGTACCAGATAGATGGAGCACAGTTCACTCGTATGTACAGTACACAGACTATCAGGATGGTACCAGATAGATGGAGCACAGTTCACTCGTATGTACAGTACACAGACTATCAGGATGGTACCAGATAGATGGAGCA